GGAGTTTACCTTAAAGCAATTTTGGCCTTGTCACATGCCTGTCTGCTATTGCTTGGTGATTTTCCAAAAGTTAGCATACCTACTCTGGCTGGGATGTTGATATAGTCATCCTGGGATATCCTAGAGCTTCTGTTTTGAAGCTTTCTTAGGATACTTCTCATGTCACCTAATTTTGAAGAAAACATTCCTGGGTTTTGTTTGTGGTGAGAAGAATGAGTAAGCTTTAGGTGCTTATGGCTTGACCTTCCCCATGTCATAGGGACATGGTGCTGCTAAGAGCGCCTCAGGAATTCTTTCTCATAGTCATCTCAAAATTCACCTGAACTAAGTTATCTATTTGTCATCTTCCGGAAATTGTATTTGATACCCAAAGAAAAGAAAGTATATATACTAGTTATATTTAAAATTCTGCTTATTATGTTGACAGGAGTAAACTATTCAGATAGTTGCTTCATCCATTTCTGACTTTAGCTGTGCCTTTTAAAAGGCCAAGCTACCTCAAACCTCAAAGAACACCATATTTTCTCACAGATAACATGCTCCAGAATATAATATGCCCCTTGTTTCTGAAAGGCAACATAAAGAAAAAGCGATCTTTCCTTGTAGTACCCATAAGTACTACAAGGAAAGAGCAGTGACTAGCAAGCTGAGCCTGCTGCCAGCCTGAGCTGTTGCTACTCTGTGTTTGGCCGCACCTGCCCTCCCTGCTTCACATCCGGCTGCATGCCATCCCCTGCTATGCATTCAACCACCAGGGTACACTGATCCACAAAGGTTGAAAACCCCTGAATTAAGCTAAACTATTTTTAAAAGAAGATTGCTTTTTCTGAGCATAATAGAGTGAGGTTTTTTATGCCATACTTCAAATTCTGAGCCTCTTTGCAATGAATGCACTTTTAGTTCCTTTCAAGAGGTGCTACTAGGAACACAGTGTAGTTGTATTAAGTCTGACCTTGATGCAAGATTTCTCTTAGAATTCTGCCAGAAATTTGGAAGCAGATCTAGTGACTGTAGCTCAGTAGCACAGGTAATGCCCTCATTTCTTTCTTTTTTGTCTCTGATAGCTTGCCAAATCTCTCTAGCTGTTTCTAGGTGCAATTCTGTTCCATCTGTATTCCAAAAAAGATTTCTTGTTTTTCTCTATTACGTGTTAGTAGTTCTTTCTTTTCCTGAATGTTTCCAATACTGAAACTTTCCTTTGGAAAATGCTTTTATATAAAACAATAAAGATCCTCTCCAAAAACTTTAGTGTCAAAGAATGCACAATATCAGAGCAAAACAAAAATGTGGCATCTATTGCTTCTTAGAGTGAATTGTAGTCTGTGCTATTTATCACTGCGCGTAAAAAGAACAGCATATCGTTATAGTTCTTGTCTTTATGCTGAATCCACTCATTCTGACTTTTATTTCAGAAGTCTTTTGCATGCAGATGCTATTTTAGCAGCCTTCAAAACCTAAGTACACTGCTCATAAAGTAGTGCTATTGATGAAGTAGCACTTGTCATTCTAGAGAGGGAGTTCAAAAGCTACAGTAATAGGAGCAAGTCCTACTTTGTCTTTCAATGAAACTTTTATCCCTAAATCCATTGGATATATTTTTTTTAAATCTCAGCCTGCTCAATATGATTGCATTATCCTTAGATTCTTGTGGAAGAATTAGTTGGAAAAAAAATCCAGATAATGCATTTTCGTTTGGTTTAATAACTATCGTTAAGACATTATTCTTTACTGTGAATATGTATAATAGCTTTCTTTCTCACAAAAAATACGTTATTTGAATTTTATAGCTATTTTTATAGCAATAGACTTAAATAAGACTCTTAAATGCAGGCACTCTGGAGAAAGATAGGAGAAATAAAAAGTCAAGCATATTAATTACATTTATTTAAAACATTTTTCTAGAGCCTACAATGTTGCAAGTTCTTGTACCCTTTTGGGAGCTAGATTCATAGGCTGTTTAGTGAGGGAAAAGGTATGATTACAGGATCCTTATCAGTCAGTAAGTCTGGGAGCCTTAAAGCTCTGGGGAGAAATTTGGCAGAAACATGCAGTTATTAGAAATAAGGTTGAATGTTTCATCTTTGCAAGGGTCATGAAGCTCTAGAAAAAGGCTGCATTGCTGGAGGCCAAACAGGCCAACTTCTTTTGGATATATACAGCTTCAACTGAATCCAGTGAGAGTTGTATTCATAACTAAGTGCAAAATTTGGTTCATGTTACATGCGGTGAAATACTATTGTCACCCACTTCTAAATAATCTTATTCTCTCTGTTTTGGCGAACATTTTTAAATTTAGCGCTAATTTTAAAACTTGAAAAACTTACTTTCCTTGGGTCAGTCAGAAAAAAAATCCTTTTCAGTTTATGTGGAATTGTGCATGAAAAAAATAGCTTCCTGAATTACAGACAGCCCTCAGACTTACGACACAATTGGTTCCTGGAAACCATGTCTCAAGTCAAAATATTGCAACTCAGAACCGATTTTTCCCATTGGAAACAATGTTATAAATGGGGGATTGGCTCCTGAATCAAGGCCCGACACTCTCTTTTCACCAAAAATACCCCAGAATTTTGTACTCAATCAATTATAGATGAGTAATATAGCTACATCAATGTATTTATATTGTAAATAGCAATCATATTGATTTGGAAGGACTTCTTTGAGGTGACTTTGCTGTACTTTTTAAAGGGCTCTTGGTTGGACTTTTTGAAGGGTTCTTGCCTGGAGTCTTCTCAGGAGTCTTGCCTGCAGGTTTTTCTGGAGGCTTGTCTGCTTTCTTAAAGAAAGTTTCCAACAAGGTTTGGACAGATGTTCTCCAGGGCGATGCAGCGAACTTGTTCGCTGGCATGGCGTGGCATTGGATCAAGCGTTGTAAAGTTGAGACTGACGTCAGAAAGTTGAAACCGGGTGTCAATTTCGAAAGGTTGTGAGTGCGAAAGGTTGTAACTCAAAATGTTGCAAGTTGAGGACTGCCTGTACCCAGCTAGTTGTGTCAATTTATTTAATTTGTGTATGTGATCTTGACAGGTTCCATGTAGAAAAGCACTGCAGGTTATAATTACAATAAAGGGAGTTACAATCGAAAATCTGTTTTCTCTTGGTTTTGCAAATACCTTAAAGCTCCATTGCCTGTACTGTTGGGCAGTTCTTGTTACTGCTGTCTGTTGCTTTGAGCAGTTCTTATAGTTTAAATTGGTGTAAAATCAAAATGGAATGTGTTCCTAGACTCTAACTTGATACATCTGTCCAAGAAGAGGATTTGTCCTGCTGGTTTAGAATCAAAACCCAAAACTTTCCAGTGATGTCTCAGAAATGGATTTTAAATTCTAGTGGCTGGTGCCAGCTAATTGCTCTTGAAACAGTGCAGCAAGAATACAAGGTTGGACAGTATATTTTATCCTAGTTGGATATATTCATTGCTTAGGGAAGGCAGACTTGTGAGTGGTCAAGGACTATAAAATGGACATGTAACTTGCACTTAGATTATTGCAGTTCCTTGAGATGTCTAGTAGTCATTCCTGATGCATCTCTACTATACATAGGTTTCCTCTTTTCTTTAACCATATGTATATTTGTTTCTTTGTCTCTGAGTTTTTTGTTAAGTAATATTTTCTCATAGCAAAGAGGCTGCTATTCACCTGCTAAGTAGTCTTTAACAATGCCCTGTCAATATCAGTGTTAACTCTGAAGCATGCTCTGGCTTAGCTGTCTATTACATGTCTTTTGGTTTTTCCCCTTTGCATAGAAAAGCTGTAAAATTAAGCCCTGCTATTTTACCATCAGTGCTGGAAAGCAAATTTCTGTCTCCTAACTTATAAAGTTGTTATCATAGGCTACTTGAACAGCAAAATATAGGGGGTGGGGGTTTCTCCTAGTGCTGTGTATGAAATCTGCTTTGGATCTCCATCTTTCTAATCATACTCAGTTTAAGTGTCTTGTAAATTGGAAGCTTATGTCTTCAACTTTTGGAAGGCAAATATTTAATTTTTCTTTCTTGAGTTCAGTGTTACTGTGAAGGTAGATGGTCTTTGTATTACAGTAGGTAATATGTGGAACATTTTGGAAGCAGGGAAAAGAGGTTTCTTTATCATTTTTCAGGCTTCCTTATTAGATCTCTTGCCTTGAAAAGTTTGCATGCCTGCTCTGGCTGCTCATGGTTTTCCCAAGCAGTTCTAAACTGCTGTCCTCTGTAGTATCAGTTAAGCAACCAGAGATATATTGTTTTGTTTGGCAAAGTAAAAGAAGCAGCAAGAGCACCAGTGCTGACTGTTAGATTCAGAAAGTCTGAAATGCATCTGTTTAGCCTGGGTTCACATTTTAAAGGATATCCTCAGACCTAAATGGTCTAGAAAACATTTTTTTTAAATACAAGTTTAAATTCTGCAGATATTGATGGGTTAAGCAGCTGTTCTCTCTAAAGCAAGCCTTTGACCTCTTTTTAATGAGGGAACAAGTGGATTTTTTTTCTAGGCCTGTGTTTGGTATTCCATTAAGAAAAACCTCCTTTTCTCTCTTTTTTTTCCCCATTCCCAACTTGGTAATTTACACTAAATCTGCTTCTTAAAAATTTGCTTTCCCCTGAAGTATAAAAGTCTAATAGCATGCCTTTTTTAAATGGTGTGATTAATTGAAATCTCATATCTCTTTCAGTAATAGCCAGTTTTCGAGGAACAGTCCCACATGGATTGTTGTTGGAGATTGGAGATACAGTTCAAATCCTAGAGAAATGTGATGGTGAGTATATAAGTTAAAACTCTGATTTTAATGACTTGTTGGATATTGATGTTTAAGTCCCATTCATTTTAATTTACAATATAAAAGATATAAAATTATAGTAATATACATCTATATTTTCCTATTTTCAAGGGGTTTCTTGTTTTCTCTCATCGTTTAATTAATATCCAGGGAGAAAAATAATTGTTAAAACAGCAGGGAGGTCTTTTCATGAGTTTTCTTCAGCTTTCTTGATATTTTCCAGGAAAGCTTGAAATTCAGCAGGAAGCATTCAAGCTTCATTACAGTTTACAAGTCTAAATCTCCCTCAGTATTGGCCCACCCACCTGCCTTTATTTTGATGTAGATGCTACTGACCTTAAATATATATTTCTGCCTTTATTTCAATGTGTGCACAGAGCTATAATAGAGGAAATTCACTTGCTTTTCTTCAGTAGCAGTATTTCTTTAATATCCTACTGAGAGTCAGTTTCTTGAAGCTGTTTTTCATCGTTTAATATAATATACCTTTTGTTTTCATGGGTGTGGGGATGATAAACTGCTAATCTAGTTAGTCCTGGTTAAGCCTTGTCATAAAATGCATTAAATCAATGTTAGTTATTTTGAACCAGGTGTATTAGAAGTTTAATTTAATTATATAGCTGCTACCCCCAGACTTTGACATATAATAACTGTTCATAAAACAGATTACAGTAGATAAAAGCCCACTTCTACCTTTTGGCTAAAATAACATCCAATACAAAAAATAAGCAGAGTGCATTGCTGGAGTTATTTGTAGAGAGAGAGAGGCTACAATATTGCTGGAAATAAGCATGAAGTAAATTCTGGTTAAAAAATTACCTTGTATTATATAGATTATACTCAGAATGACTGTCAGACTGATCCCAAAGAGGGACATTAAACTTTTTTTACAAATGGCAGCAGGTTATATATTTTTAAAGGCAAAATTACCTTTTTTCCCTTACAGGTTGGTACAGAGGATTTGCCTTAAAAAATCCAAATATTAAGGTAAATATCCAGCAATTTTGAATTGTAGCTTGCATTCTTGTACAAAATGCAAAATTGATTTTAAAATCGTTATATTCTTTGTAGGTAAAAAGGAGTTTGCTCTTATGAAACTACCACTGCTTGCTGACATACTCTGCACTTGATGTTACATATTTTGATTGATGTTTCCTGATGTGTTCCTGGACCTGGGTTACATTTCTGAAATACTGTGGGAGTGGAAAATTCTCTTTTTAGTCAACAAAGGTGAAAGTTCTCAAGTTAGAGGACATAAATTAAAGAGGAGTGGGTGCTGTAAAGCATGGGTATCAAATAGGCCTGTGCGAAGCGGCAAGTGTTCGATTCGGATTCGGCTGATTTGAAGGGACAGGGATTTGATTATGTGATTCAAGTCACTGTCCTGATTCTATTTGGCCAAATCAGAGTTGGAGATTTGGCACAGATTCGGAGATTCAGCCATAGAGTATAATGGGGAATCACTGAAATACCTATAACTTTGTCAATCTTTGGCCAATTCAGATAAAAGCAGCAGGGATGGTAGCCCCTTCAGAGGGCATGAAGCCTGCCAAGTTTCAAGGACATAGGTTTAGGGGTTTCTGTGAAAGTGCCTCTCAAACTGTTAAAAGCAAAACTCGTATCACTTGTGTATGTTAAGGGGTGTAGGTTGTACCCACGTTAGTCTAAGGTCATAGGCAGACAAGGTTCTTTGTGTCAATCTGATATCTTTTATTAGACCAACTGAAGAGTTGGAGAAATATATCTTAGCAAGCTTTCGGGTTTAAAAACCCTTTGTCAGGCTGAGGAAGCATCGGGCTTAAAAACCCTTTGTCAGGCTGAGGAAGCATCTGCAGTTGGTGTGTGCTATTCATTCTATCCAGGGAGAGTAAAGAAGCTAGTGGTTGGGCTGCAGGCAATAAAGCCAGTCAGTGAAAATGTAAATTGAGGCACCAGGGAGTGAGAGACAGGCTGGGGAGGTGGGGGAAGGGAGAGGGATGTAGCAGCTAGGTAAAAGTGTAGAAGTACCTGGGGAGTCAGATGTCTGGCAGGTTGTAGTGTGTCATAAATCCAATATCTGTATTGAGTCCATGAGTTTTTATATACAGTAGATTTCTGAAGTGAAGTTTGTAGGCTTGAGGATAGAGATTGGAGAGAGAGTGGTTTTCTTGTGAGAAATGTGTCCCCACTGGTAATTGGGTGTTCTTGTCCTTAATAGATGTCCAGTGTGCATTCATTTTGGTCTGCAGTTGTTGTTTGGTCTCTCCTACATATTTTCCGTCAGGGCATTTGGTGCACTGGATGAGATATATAACGTTTCTGGAGGTGCAGCTGTAAGATCCAGGAATGGTGATGGTTTTGTTGTGGGGTGTAGTAAATGTGAGGGTACTGTCTCTCACCCCGATGCTGCAATTTACATTTTCACTGACTGGCTTTCTTGCCTGCAGCCAGGCCTCTGACTTCTTTAGTATTCATTCCATCCAGGAAGAGCACACACACCAATTGCAGATGCTTCCTCAGCCTGATGAAGGGTTTTTAAACCTGAAAGCTTGCTAAGATATATTACTCCAATTACTCAGTCTAATAAAAGATATCGGACTGACCCAAAGAACCTTGTCTGCCTTGTGTGTTAAGTCAGAGTGGGATAAATGCAGCAGGGATGGTAGCCTGTAACAGGGGACGTTCCTGGTGTCGGTTAGATCTTGGCCTGCCCACCTGTTTCTGGGCCAACCGCCCCGCCCCTCTTTCTCCTACCACACCTTGATGGAAAACTGATTCAGGTTTTACTCAGGCAGGAGGCTGCCCATTTAGGTCCCTGATGTCTAGGGGTGACATCCATTCCGCAGCTCCATACCTTCCCTACTGTGGCCTATGCCTCGCAGATGGCTTTCCCCAGCCAGGACTGTGCGTGCATGTGGTGACTGGAGGTTATCAGGCACCCCCTACCCACCTTTCACCAGGGAAGTTAGCAGTCCTGGCATTTCCTGGGGCTGCTGTATCACCAGCAGTCCCACCAGGCCTCCCTACCCTGGCAGGGTGCAGTTTTAGGTCATGGCCAGGACCTGAGATCTCCTTTCCCATAGTCCTAGTCCATACCTCCAAGTTCATCCTGGCATGGGAGCTCAGCAGGGAGATGTTCTTCCCTTGCTGGCTGGTGAAAAACTAAACTGCCACCTCCAGCTTTGAGAGAGGGGCATTTAAATGGTTGTGAAAGCAACTTTAAGAAAGGAAATAGGTGCTGAGTGAGGAGGGTGACACTCACTCCATCTGCATGTGGAACTTGGAGAACCCCAGCAGCAGGAGGTTCACCTTCAGGAACACTAGCTGCTCCACCAAACCAGGATCCAAGGAGGTGCAGTGGAGTGTCACAACATCCCCACCTATGCTGAACATCTTCTCACTTGGAACACAGGGCGGTGGACAGGACAGGTATTCCCAGGCAACTGTGGCCAGTTCCTGCCACATCTGGCTGCGGGTTGCCCAATTGGCCAAGGGGTCACATTGCAGAGGCTCCATGACCTCAGTGAGATAGGTAGTCACTGAGGCCTCTGTACTACCTGCCGCATGGTGGGGTATGGTGCCTCTCGACCTCAACAGTGAAGCTATACCCTTGGCCCACATTGGCAGCAGCTGTGGTGGAGGAGATTAGCTGGTGCTTGGAGTGCTGGCATGGGAAAGTAGATCCCCCTCTTCCACATCCCCCTGTCTCTGCCCTTCTGCCTCCATAACTCTGTTCACTAGCATCTCTGTCCAGTGATCAAGGGTTTTGCTGCTGTAGATGCTCCCCTTCACCCTCGGGTCACACATGCCTGCCAGTGCGTGGACCGTATTGAACCTCAACAGATCCAGCTGTTTTTTGATGCCCTCCTTCAGCTGCTTCACCAGTGCCTGCACCTCTGGGGAAAGTGGCTTGTCCCAGCCAGGAGCACTGATCCCCCTGGAACTTCTCCATTTGATTCTCAAGCTCCTTCACTATGGGGATCACCTGGCTAAGGAGGGCCTTGCCAGCACTGAGGCTCTTGGTGGCTTCAAGGAATGGCTAGAGGACCACCAAGATCCGGGAGATGGTATCCCATGCTGTTTTGTTAAGGGGGCTGCTGATCCCAATCTCCCTGAGCTCAGCCTGCCTTTCCAGTATCAGGTATGTGGAGTTCCACTCCCAATCTTCTGTTGCTCAGCCAGCCTTTCCAGTATCAGGTATGTGGAGTTCCACTGAGTCTCCACATCCTGCATGATTTTGTGCTGCAGGATGCTCACTCTGCCTGTTTGTCCCACAGCATCTTGCCCCCCGTGATGCTCCAGTGGAAGTAGCCTGCCACCTTCCTGCATCTTGAAATAAGCTGGCCAGTAGTGGTAGTGATGGCGCCATCACCGGCATCCCTGTCCCCCTCCAAGGTGTCCTGGACTATGAGGCAGAACTTGTGTGCCACACAGCAGATGCCAACAGAGTTGGCATCACAGAACGCCTTGACCATATTGGCCTCACTGTCAATGGCCATGAACCCGCGGGTAAGCTCGCCCTGCCCTGTGAGCCACCACTGCATCGTGGTTCATGGCCCCCATGATCTCTGTTGCCATGTGGGACTCATCCATCACCTCTGCTTGAAGGAGAGTCCACCAATGGCCTGACTGATCGCACCAGTGCCCTGTGAGGGAGAGGTAGGCATGATCTCCACCCTGGCTGCTTCAGATGTCTGAGGTGAAGTGCAAGGCTACCTGCGGCCCTACCTTGCACAGCTCCTCCTATAAGTACTCCCTGCATGCCTCATACAGGGAGGGTACCACCATCCTGCTAAAAGTGGTGTGTGCAGGCATTCCGTAGGATGGGGCCATGAGCCACCTGAATCCTGGACACTCAACAAAGTAGAAGGGCTGGTCATCCAGAGCAAGCATCTCCCCAGTGCTCTGGGTGACCTCGCTCATCCTTGCAATGTGCCCCTCCTTTGTCTGTGGCTTTTCCCCACTGGTCCAGGGTGGCCTGCCTTTGCTTCACGGGGATGGGGGTTTTGAATCGAGAAGGGGACATCCCTTTGGGCACACTCCCACTGGTGCCAGACTGAAGAGGAACAAGGACACACGGCTGGGTTGAGGTTGAGGATCCTGCCTTATCCCCCTTCTCAGCAAGCAGAGGCGCAACAACCTGCCCACACAACCTCCTTTGAAGTGCCTTCCAGAGAAGGAGACCTGCCTCTAGGGGAACTTTGAGGGGTGTGGAGCACAAACTCCAATTCCCCCTCCTTCCCCAGGATTTCCTTAGCTATGGCACTCAGCTTCTCTGTTTCCAGATCCAGCTCCTCCTCTGGCACTGGGAGGCTCATGCTGGGATCTGCAATTGGGGTGGAGGAGACTCATGCTGGGGCTGGTGGCTATTTCTGGTGTTAGTGGAAGTGGTGCAGGGACAGGTACTGCTCCCACCTCCCTGCTCCCACTGGCAGCAGAAGAGTCATCGCTGCTAGGAAGGAAGGTGCATCTATGTTTGGGTGAGGGAACTTGCAGTTCTTTTCCTACACTTCCAGCTCTCCCCCTACCCCCTCTAGCCCCTCTCCCTCCCCTGCCAGAAGACCTGGCACGTGCCTTTCTAGCACGCTTCATGATGTTTGGTGTGCTGGAAAGTGTGTGTGTGTGTGTGTGTGTGTGTGTGTGTAATATATCTTGCATGTGTTTGGCGTGTGTGTGTGAGAAATATGTGCTTTCCTGCACAGTGATAGATGACACACTGTCAGGGAAAACACAGCTTTCTTTTTAAAAAGTGTGTGTGGGGGAGGGAAATAACAAGAACAAATAAGAGGATTTTCAGGGAAGAATAAGTTGAAAGGAATGGTTTGGATAGGGATAAGTAGAGGGATTCTAGGCAAGTGTAATTAGTAAGGTGTATCCAATGCTTTCCAAGAAGAGAGATTAGCTAGAGACAGCCTTATATGCTGTTTCTACTTCCCTCCCCCAGAGCAGTGTGATTGGAAGGGAACTCAGGGAAAGATCAGTCACTGGCCGGCTCCAGATGTCAATATCGGAGTAGCCTTCCCCCGCTCTACCCTCCCTCTTCTCAGTTCCTGTTTCCCTGCAAGACCGCCTTCCGAATTGTCAAACCTTTTCGGAATTGATTCAGATGCTTCAAATAGATTCAGAGCTTTTAATAGGTCTCCTGATTCAATTCGGATTCAATGATTCAGCTGCCATATCAGGCCAAATCTTCTCCAAATTGAATCGGCGACTGAAGCTTTGCACACCCCTATTATCAAACATGGTCAGTAGGCTGGATGTGGCCTGTAGAGCAACTCTGTCTGGCTCTCGAAACTACCAGCAGGCATAGTAGTTTGGGAAACTGGGGGTGTATCTAGAGGGAGTGGCCTGCCACAAAATCTGTGGCCCTCTGGCCCTGGTGGACATGGTGATAGGCAGCAGGAGAGCAAGTGAGGGCTGACACAGTCTCAGTCACCTCTGACCACTTTATGTGCTGCCATGCCATAACTCTATCTTGCTGGGCACCAGGTCCCACCACATTCTCCATGCTGAGGCAAGATACTGGAACTGCCACCATAGAAGAGGGCAAGCCTCAGCTCCAGATTCAGCATGGGGCAGTCGTTGGAGCCTCTGCTGCATGCCCTGGGTCAGAGGTAGAGCTATCACTGCTGCCTCTGCTACTGCTGTGTGCTCTGGATCAGAGGTAGAGCCATTGCCACTACTGCTCAGGGTTTTGTTAAACCCACCTGTAAAAAAAATATTTGCAAAAGTCTCTTGGGCTTCTCTATATACTCATCCCAAACCTCTTCTTCCATCTTTTCTCTTTTCCAAACCTCTTTGCTTCCTAGGTAGGCACAAAATTAGACCAACTTGAATATGCTGTTGGCTCAGTTCATACTCCCATTTCCTATTTAAACATAATCCATCAGTCTTTGCTCAATTAAATCTTCCATTTATTTAAATGAGAGTTAAATAGTGGGAGTGCATATTTAGGGGCCTACTTAAATTGTGATTTTATGAAACCATTAAATTGGGCATTTTCCGTTAAATAAAAAAAACAACAACAACTTACTAAAAATAAAATGCTGACTCCCCAGGTTGAGCCAGTTGCCCTCGTGGTCACTGTGGCCTGACTTCATAGCCCACCAGGGGGGAGCCACTGGCATGAAGGGGAACAATCAAGATGGCAGTCGCCCTCACCTCTCTGCCCCTTGCAGCTGATTGGTTGAGGGCTGCCTGTCTCATGGCCCCACTCCTCTTCGCTGATCTGCAGTGAGGAGTGAGGCTGCATGACAAACTGCCCTCTCGGCCAATCGGCACCGAGGGATGGGGCCACAGGAGCCCCTCAGCCAGTCAGTGGTGAGGGGTGAGCTCATTGTGAAAAGGCTGTGAAATCAGCTTCATGCACAGGGAGAGGCCTGTGAAAATCCCTTCTTATCACTGTGACTTAGATTCCTGTGCATAATGAATTATGTCTAATTACATATCAGTTGTAGCAAAAACACAATATCTGCATATAATATCCTTTGAGGTTAATGGGAATAATGATGATAGGCTTAGGACCCTTATTTTTTCTGGCTTTTCTTGTATTAAAATAGGCTGAGAATTAGTCAGTGCTTCTGTGATCTCACTTCAGTTTGATATATAATCTTATACAGTCTTGAACTTAAAGTGTGGCTATGAGCTACAGTTGTTCAACAAGTACTTACTTTCGTTGTTGGTTTTTGGCCTGCAAAAAACACAGTATTCTATAAACAATAGTATAGAAATTACTATACTAGTAGAAGTTGTGTTAAGATCCCTGAGGAAATGAGGGTGCTATTCTAGTTTTCAAACCTTGAGGGTTAAAGTGATTTTTCTGAACTGAACTTTGAAAATGAGCCTTCCTAAAAGGCAAAGTAGTCTGTTAGCATTTGTCAGAATTCCTTACCAGTTAATTGCCATCTGTGTTATAGCAAGAGGCACCATCAGCTGTACTAAACAATGGAGAATATATATTCTTTTAAAAAATTTTCATTTGAATTTGCTTATATTTTAACTATCAATTCTGTCCTCTAAAAAAAATGTGTTATGTTTTGTTTTTATTTTAAAGATGTGTTTCTTAGGGTGTATTTGCTTGTTACCCTGCTTATCATCCCACTGCTCCATGCAAAGAGATGGGTAGTTTTATCGCTGCAGCATTACCATCAGAGAGCATGAAAGAATGACACTGCTAGTGAGCAGGTCCTAAATAAAGAGTGCAGTAAAAGTATTTTGTTCTGAAAATACATGCCAGATGATCACTTTTGCCACAGATAAAACAGCCACAGATTATTTGTCAGTAATTAATAGAAATATATGTAGAGGCTATATTCCAATATACTACTTACTATATTTTCTTGAATCAAACACACTCCCAAATAAGTCTCACAACTCATTTGTGGAAGGCAGTAGACCGAAAAAGATTTTTCTAGAGTTATGGATGCATCATGCATGGAAAGAGCATAATCTTCAGCTGACTCACCCTCCCTTTCCTGCTTAACTAGAAGCTGAAACCCTAGCTGCTGCTATAGGTTTGTTTCCGTGGGTACATTTATGATTTTGAAAAGAGCTAAAGCATCTCCAGGACTATGAGAAAGGAGAAGAAAGACCAAAAGCATCTAGCTGACAGCAAACTTGCCATAAGAAAGGTTAGCTTGATTAGTGGAACTTCAAAGCCATTAAAAAAAAAAAAGAGATGTTCATCACATGCGGACTGATGAACAATTAAGTCATTTGAGACTCTCAGTTGCCTGAATAGTAATGCCATTGCTGCTGTCCTGTGGAGAAGGGATTAAACCAGGGTACTTCTTCCAGGCAGAAAATCAATTTCCCCATTTAAGACACACACCCCATTTTGGATGGGGCTGATTAAGTAAAAAAGTTGGTTGGTATGCAAGTAAATATTGTGGTGTACTCATTTTAGGCTCTAATTTAGAATGATATAGAATAGCTATAACTTTTGGTGTCACAAACATTTGATTTGTTGATAATATTTGCAATTTTGATCACATGCAATTCTTATGCTGTTTTCTAAGCAATTGCTACTCTTCCCATTATGAACAGTGTCACTGTTGGACATTTTTAAAAATTTGGTATAAAGTGTTTTCTGAGAAATATGTTAGCCTAAATTCAAGATTTTCTATTAATTGCAGGCAGCTTAATGATTTTTTTTGTTTGTTTCTTAACCTGTTTTTCTTTCAGGGCATATTTCCCTCGAACTATATTCATCTGAAAAATGCATGTGTTAAGAACAAAGGGTAGGTGCCAGTTCTGGTTCAAATATTTAAGGACATGCAGATTGTTGTACCAAGGCTGCTTTATAGCTAGAATAAAGAAGATATATTTTTCATTGGTGTTTGACTCTATAAAATCTCAACTCTCTGCCACAAAAGTTAAAATGGATAATTTTTACCAGCTTGGAACTTTTATTCAGGCACGAGGCTGGAGTCTCTTTATTTAAAATTGTATATAGGGCAGAAACGGAGTAATCACTTTTGTCATGTAGCATATATATAGAGAACAATTGTATATTTAAATTTATTGATAAATTCTTATGTTAATTCGGACTTACTTTAATAAGAGCTGGCTGCCTTACCTAAAGTTGTTCTGTACAGGGCCCTACATACAAGAGGCTACTAGCTATTGTTGATTGTTGCACTTTTTACATTACTGAGAACTATTTTTTATCTTAATTTTGGATGTCTACTGGTCTGTATTCATTATCTCAGGTGAAGTTAAAAATCTAAAAAACCCATGCCTAGAATGTTGATGTTTGAATTAGAGTTTAGAAACTGTACCAGTTTCCAATTTTCAAAAGGTTGTAAATAGAAGAAATGCTGAAGTCCAAGTTTGGTGACCAGTAATGAAAATCTTCCATCCATCATGGAACCGCTAAAGACCTGGGCTGGTCAAGTGAAATTGAATTACTTATTGTGTGCTCAACAGGATACTCCTTGCCATAGCGCTGAATTGCTGTGCTGTTTACACTTATCTGGTCATGTTCCTCCTGGTAGGGCTAAGTTAAAATTCTCCTGTTCTTTGACAAAATGGGAATTTTTTGTGAAAATGCATAAAAAACTGCTTCCTGTGGAAGATGGAACTTTTATTCAAAAATAAATAAATAAAAAAAACACAGCCCCCAAGCCCTTGGAAAACTGTAAAAAACAATTGGGATTTGTAATTCTGCTGTGCCGTGCCTCTGTTCAGTACTCAATGGACCAGGTTCCCCATCAAGGCTACATTTCCCATGATGTACTGTGGCCCAATATTTGCACATTGCATCATGGTAACATGGCAAGGGACAAGAGAATATGACATTGCTTAGGTAAGAAACCATGCCAGAGATTGTGAAGTGCTCCAAGATCTAATGACAGACAGAAAATAGGACAAAGTGGCACTCTGTTATGTAAGCATCGGATGAAGTAGCTGTTGCCTTTGAAAGCTCATGCCTTTCTGAACCAGTTGGCTTCTAAGGTGCTGCCCTGTCCTACCTTCTGCCTGCCTTCAGACTAACACAACTAACCACCTTCCCAGGGATGAGCTTTCATAGGCATCTCTGTCATGGCTTCTTACCTGGATGATGTCTCTCAAGAAGGTTATAAGGCCCAGTGAGGGTAATAACGCTAACCATCTTCCCTGAGATCTAATGATATAAGAACAAAGGATGATGATTGCTATTAAAATAAGTCAATTTTAAGAATTTTTTGTAGCCCAATCTAAAATATTGCAACACCCCTCTTTCCTCCTGTTCACACTGGAGAGCCTTTCTGGTTTTCTTTAAGTTCTTGCTTATGATCTACCTTAGAGAGTGATTGCTGTAAGAGGAGTTTAAAATGAGAGAATGTATTCATTTGTTTAGTCACCAAATTCACAGAATCAGCAGCCACTTGTCCTTCTAACTATCAGGAAATATTTATGAACAAGTTTGAAGGACTTATTTGATGTAAAACTATAGATGAAATCCTGACTAAGTTGGTGGTAAAACCCTTGTGTGACCAGGATCTCACCCCACAATTTACCTATGGTGAGTAAAACATTTGCACAAGTGAAAGGCATGGTGATGTAAAAGAAACACCATATAAATTAATAAACATCACCATTTGTAGAAAAGAGGGATTATGTTAATAATAGTTATGTGATTTGTGATGTTGTGTAATATCATATATTCTTCTGGATGTCACAGGCAGTTTGAAATGGTTATTCCAACAGAAGACTCGGTTATCACAGAGATGACATCTACTTTGAGAGACTGGGGAACAATGTGGAAACAACTTTATGTGGCAAGTACTATATAATAGTGTTTTGCTTGGAAACAGTTTAAAGTAATAGATTCTCTAATCTTACAAATAATGTAACAAACTAGCCTGCATTTAATAAAAACAGAAACAGTATTCTTTCAAAGACTGAAGGCAGGTGCTTTTTTTCCTATAAGATTTATTTACCAGGGTCTCTTTTTGTCAGGATTTTTTAATCCAGTATTTATGGTTTTCTGCCAGAGCCTAACTAGGACATCTGTTCACCTCATAATAGCTAGTAAAGCTATTATGAATAGCAGAAGAATAAATCAAAATGGCTTAGCTGCTTATTTTAGCCTAACTTAAAAAAATTGTAAGATTTGGGAGGTGTGACAACAGACATATGAAATGGCAATATTTACACCATGCCAATTAAAACGCAAAATGAAAGCAAGAACAAGATCAAATGGTTCTTTTTCATATACAGATGACCAGAAGTCACACACCAGAAGAGTAAAGGAAACCAACTAGAAACTATTATAGTAAGGAACAGAAATAAATATGAAAAAATGCTCTTTCTCCAAAATACTGATCAAACAGGGAATTAAAGTATTGTAGTTATTTGCATCTAATATAGCAAGGGAAAAAAAAAGGGAAAGGATAAGGGGGAGAATTTCCAGTAACACCTTTATGGTAGCTGTTACTTTGATTTGATTTATGATAGTGGAGTAACTTTTAGCCAAACTGCTTTTTTTTTCTTAAAAGAAAGGCTTAGTTTTGTAGACCAAGTAAAGCAGAACATATAGCTGCCTTTTCTAAGAAATGCTAAAGGGTGAAGAAGGAAAATCATCTCAGTACTTAGATAAAAAAAAAGTAGGGTGCGTTCCATGAAGTAAAAGAATAAATAACAAGTTGAAACTGCCTGAGAGAAGAAACATATTGGAAAATATAAGCACTGAAGGCTAAAACCGTTATAATCCAAGTGTGGAATATAAATTGGACTGCCTTAATTTTGGCTTGCTTGTACATTCTCTTGGTCCCTTATTGGCAAGGACAAAACTTGTTGCTTTAGCCAGTTCGTCATTATTTATGCTTAAAAACAAGTAAATCCCAGACAACATTTGAAAGCTTTAGACACTTCATTTGTTTCTTGATTAAAAATATTTGAGCACTAGTGAGAAGTTAAAGTTGCTTTTTTTCTGCCCCATAAGTAAAAAGTTAATTTGTTTTAAAGATCCAAAAATAGTTGTAGGAATTTTCAGAAGATTTGGAGATTGGATTGTCTGACCTTCTGCATACAACTGGCTATAGGATTTCCTGTATAAATTTTTGCTTCAAGGCCAATAGCTATGCTTGAAATAAAGTATATTTTTCAGAAAAACATCCAGAGTTGATTTTAACAATTTCCAGTGCTATAGGTTCACTACAACCTTTATGAATTTGTTCTAGTCTTTGATTATTCTTACTATTAACCTGTATTCTTGTCTGAATTTGTCTAGTTTCATCTTCTAGTCATTTCATCTTGTGATACCTTTGTCTTCTAGACTAAAGGATCAAGTTTATCAAATTTTTGTTCCCTCAGGCTAGGGACAGACATTCAAAAAGCCTGAGCCTGAATTGATTCAATCTTTGCAGGTTAGTCTAACCTGGCTAGGCTGAATCAGTTTGTAACTGAACAGACATCCCAGAAATGCAGGCACATGCCTGCAGTGGTTCAGGCTAGAAGCCAGGGGGGTGCTCGAGCAGCCCTCCCTTCCCTTCTGTAATGCTGAGCTGGGGCGGGGCATGGCCAGGCCCTGGCAGGACACTCTGATTAGAGAGGGGTTCCCCCACTCCTGACCAGACCAGCAGAAAATTGATAACACAGTGTTTATCACCCCTAACTCAATGTTTATTACCCCATTAAGAAAACAACAGAGGAACATTACGAGCTACCTGTTGATTCTGCCATTGTCCCATCTGCCACAGCAGGGACCTGTAGCCAGCATGTGGTCTGCTAGCTAATGCTGAGGTGTTTGTGTAAGACAGAGGGGACCTGGGAATCCCTGCTTAGCAGGGAGTGGGGATGGGAGGGGAGCAGGGGGAAGCCAGGCAGACCCCTGTATTCTCTGCCAAGCTCCTACCCGGGAGCAGAGGGGAGGTGCCAGCTCTGCTGTGGAGCAGGGAGCCCCACTCAGTCCTAAGAGCATGCCAGGATGCTGGGGGAGTCTGGTTTTAACTTAAACCAGCAAGGGGACTGGGACAGACATTGCATAAACCAGTTTGACTCAAATCAGTTGTCTCTGATACTATATTCAGCCAGGTTTATCTCAAACCTGTTTCAGCCATTTTCAAACTGGTTTATGTGCACTGAACATCTATTCTGTTACAGGTCTAAACCAGTTTCTGATTACTTAAACTGGCTTATGTGTAATGTCTGTCCCTAGTAGATATTTACTGACAATGATCAAATCATTTCTTTCATAAACATTTCATAAACATTTCTTTCATAAACATAAACTAGGTTTAGCTACTTGACTCTCTCTAAAAGTAATTTTTTAAAATAAAAATTAAAAAAAAAATTTTTGTGGCTCTTTTCTCAATGCACTTTTTCCAGTATCCTCTTCTGAAGTATAGATACTAGAACTAGACACTATTCTAGGAGCAGTTACATAACTTCCAAACACAGAGCGTGTGTTTGGATAATTATTCACGAGACCCATAAGTCTTACAGATTTGCTGTTTCCCAGGATGGAATCCTCCATTCTATAAGTATGTCTTTCATTTTTCGTTCCTAGATGTGTGATTCTTACATGCAGCTATACTGAAACGCATATAGTTTTTTCTGCCCATGCTGGTCTGCATCAGTGATCTGTCTCTCATTTTTACTGTTCTTCAGTCTTTGTATCATCTACAAACTTTATCAGCGATTATTTTAGGTTTTTCTAAGTCATTGATAAGAATGTTAAATAAAGAAAAACCAATACCCAAACCCTACAAGACTCCACTAGAAACACACCTGCTCAGTCATGATTCCCCATGTAAAATTTCACTTTCAGACATCTATCATTTAAAGAGCTGTCACCTATTTAATGTGTGACATGTTGATTTTTGTGGCATCTTAACTGCTTAATCTGAGCCATTTCTGTTACATTTAAGATGCAATTAACCTGTTAATTGCATCCTAAATGGTGACTTGGCCACAGGTTCACACAATTAAATCAGCCACAAAATTATTTCACAAAGTGTGTGTAATATTTTTGTGTCTGCTTTTCCTAGTACCTTAAATATATAGTGTCACAGAGTCCACTGATGCTGGCTGCATGGCAGGGCTTGGTTGACAGTTCTCCCCATGTCCCCCAAGTCTCAGACTGGCTCTGGTGCAGTCCCAGGGCCAGGGCCAGAGCCAGGCCAACAGTCTTGCTCATCTCTGAGACCACACCAGAGTCTTGAAACAGTTCCAAGGCTAGGACTGATAATCGGCTGATTGTCAGTCTCAGCTCTGAGACTTCACTGGAATCTTGAACTGGTTCTTGTGTGGCCCAGGGGCTGAGACCAGCAATCAGCTGATTGTCAGTCCTGGAATCATGATCCCAGGCTCTTCCTGCACTGCCAACTAGTAATGGTGCAGTTGAGATCTCATCCTCAGTCCCAGAATTGTGTATCCTGACATGCACATGTAGCATGGCGGGAGGCACAATTTTTGTAAATCTGTGATCAGATCCCATTGCAGTATTAAATTAATGTGTTCCTAAGTTAATTGTATCAGCATTTTACTATTTATCAATCAAACTTGTAATCCCATGAAAAAACCCTCAAGCTAACTTGACAAGATACATTTTCAATATACATGTGCTGACTGTAATTGCATCATTGTATTATTATTGAACAAGTTCTGCATAATTTTTGTTTCATTATTTTGCCCATGATTGATGGTAGGCTAGTGAGACTATATTTTTCTTGGTTATCATATTTTCCCTTTTTTAATGCTGGCATAACATTTCTTTTCTTCCAGACCTTTGGAACTTTGCTTAATCAGCATTAGCCAGCTCTTTGAGAACTCTTGGGTGCAAATAATCTGGACCTGCTGATGATAAAATCTTTAGTAGCTGATGTTTAACATTCTCCTTAGTTTACTGTTGGAGTGGAAAGTATGTGATATTAACGTACTGGTTTTTTCCCCCAGAAGATGACCAGAATTATTTAACATTTCTGTCTGTTCTACATCACAATATGATATTAACTCATAGAAATGTGCAACTGGTAGAGATCTCAAGAGATTATCTAGTCCAACTCCCTCAGCTGAGGCAGGATCAAGTACTGTCCCCAACAGCTGTTTTCTCAGACATTCTTAAAATCTTCCAATGAAGGACGTTGTACAACCTCCCTAGGTAATTTATTCCAACAGTTGACTACATTTACAGTTAGAAAGTTCTGTTCCCAACATCTAACCTAAAGCTTCTTTGCTACAAAGTGAGCTGATTTATTTTCCTTCCTTCAGGGGGCATGGAGAACAGTTGATCCTCTTTTTAACAACCTTTTACTTATTTAAAAGACTGTTAATATTAAACCTTAGTCTTCTCTTCCTGAGGCCTAAACCAATGGTTTTCAACCTTTATAAGCCCAAGCATCTTGTTAGACTTAAGGCACCAATCAGAAAATGTCAGGTCTTTGATTTTACTTGTTTTCTGACCACAGAAAAGTAATTAAAAAATTCTTATGGTGCATAGAAGTCAGACCACACCAGGGCAGAATGTATTTGTCACTTTAGATTCTTATTTGAAATCTCTGGGTTTATCTTATGAATCCCATGTATGTGTTTGCATGCCTGACGGTGCTAATATTGTCTGGCACCCAGGAGCAGTCTTAAAAGGATCTCATGGCACCTCAGGGTGCCAAGACACTGTGGTTGAGAATCACAGGGTTAAACAAACCCAGTTCCTTTAGCTTTTCTTCATATTATTTTTCTCTGCTCTGGATTCTCTCCACTTTGTCTTTAAAACTGGATGTAGTACTTTAGCTAAGCCTTTGCCAATGCTCAGCAGAGTTACTGCCCATCTCCTATA